ACATTCCTAATATAATTAAATCATCTTGTCACAATAAAGATCCAGAGCAAATAAAAGTTCACTTTGCTAGCAGAATTGTTAAAAACGAATATATTGTAGCATTTAAAGGCTACTACAAACTGCATGCACGTGAAAATTATATAAAAGCTGCATTAAATTCATCTGGCATTTACAACTGGAAAATTTTATTTCGTGATAATTTGGCTAGCGACTTTCCTAGCGATTTTGACGTTGTACTCCTGGAAGAAACAGATAAAAATGATGGTCTTGATGCTTTAACCGATCATCCCCTCATCAGAAGGGTAACACCTCAGAGACTCGTTCATAGAACCTTAAAATTTGTGAATGCATCAGAAGATGCAGATTTTCCAGAGTATAAAAATTTTAGAAGAAAAATCAACAATTATGTGAGACTTTGAATTACAATTTAATTACACTTTAAATCATAGAAACATCTGCTTATAAATATATTATTTTTTGTGGCTGATAGAATAACCAATTTTGGCAATCAACCAATCGTCATACTTCACGTAGATTATTAAGAGCTATTCCAAGACAAATTACAAGCATACTTCAAGCTGATGCTTTATGGGGAATGGGAGTTACAGGAAATGGTGTTAAGGTAAATAATGTAATTTAAGATCTTTGTAAAAATAAAGTTACATTAATATTTGTTAATAATTATTAACAGGTAGCGATATTTGATACCGGGTTAGCAGCTAGCCATCCACATTTTAAGAAAATCAAGGAACGTTCTAATTGGACAAATGAAAAAACATTAGAAGATGGATTGGGTCATGGAACATTTGTAGCTGGAGTTATTGCATCATCTTGCATTGATTGCCTTGGCTTTGCACCAGATGCTGAACTTCATATTTTTCGTGTTTTTACTAATACTCAGGTATCTGTAATATTATCTTTTAATACACATGTTCTTCTGAATATTAAACTCTCTGCTTTTCTGCCATCTGCAGGTATCATACACTTCATGGTTCTTAGATGCATTCAATTATGCTATTCTTACAAAAGTCACAGTATTGAATCTTAGCATTGGGGGACCAGACTTTATGGACCATCCATTTGTTGATAAAGTATGGGAATTAACAGCAAATGGTGTGATAATGGTCTCTGCAATTGGTAATGATGGACCTTTATATGGGTAACTATAACATTTATCCTCTTTGATGGCAAAACGCAAAATATATATCCTCAAAATAATTTTGCTTCTATTTAATATAGTACACTAAACAATCCTGCGGATCAAATGGATGTCATTGGTGTAGGTGGAATTAATTGGGAGGATCAAATAGCAAGGTTTTCATCAAGGGGAATGACAACATGGGAATTACCATCAGGATATGGAAGAGTGAAACCAGATTTAGTTACATATGGATCAGGAGTACGAGGATCTGCATTACAAACTGGTTGCAGAACATTATCTGGAACTTCAGTTGCCAGTCCTGTGGTTGCTGGTGCTGTGGCATTGCTTGCTAGTGGATTTGTCCAAAAAGATGGATCCCCAGTGATTAAACAGAGGGTAATTACATGTCAAAGTTAAATTTTTCGGAAATATTAATACTTTTAAATTATATTTCTAAAGATAATTTAACTCGAGTATGTATGTATGTATTATAAAAGGTGACGCCTGCAAGTATGAAGCAAGCATTACTTGGCTCTGCACGCCGTTTACCTGGAGTAGGAATGTTTGAACAAGGTGCTGGTAAATTGGATTTATTACGAGCGTTTCATTTTCTTCGTTCCTACACACCAATTGCTACATTAAGTCCAAGGTAATTTACTTTTCACATTGTAGTGTGAAACGTATTATTACACTGAAGAACAACATTGTAAACATTCTCGAATCAAAATCCTTTAATTAAGTTAAGAAATATATTGAGAAACTTAAAAACATAATAGTAAGATAGAATTTTGGTTTAGAAATGTTGACAACGTTACTTTCCAATATAGTTTAACACATTGATGACCTGTGATAGGTTATCTCGTGTTCTTATGCCCAGACGTTGTAAAATTGCTGGTCAACAATGTGTTAACATACAGAACTTAATAATACAAAACCTGTGATATATTATCAGTTATATAGATCTGACTGAGTGTCAGTATATGTGGCCGTATTGTACACAAGCTGTATATCATACTGGGATGCCAACAATTGTAAATATAACTATAATAAATGGCTTGGGTGTATCTGGTCATGTAGTAAATTTTGTATGGCATCCATACACTGGTAATGGTAATGGCGAACGGATTGACGTGTCAGTAACTTATAGTGACGTTCTTTGGCCATGGTCAGGCTGGTTAGCAATTGCAATAACAGTACCATCCTCTGCTCGTGACTGGCAAGGCATAGCACAAGGTTAAAAATATTTGTATTATTTATTTTTTGACTAAAAAACGATATCATTTCTATAATATTTTATTACAATGACAGGTCATATAGTAGTTACAATCGAATCACCACCAAGTGACGGAGAAGAAACACCAAGACAATCTAAAATTGAATTACCCTTGAAAGCAAAAGTTATTCCTACACCCCCACGGCAGTAAGTGTATAGTTTTTCAAAGTGTTGCTATAGAAATTTATGCTATAATTAATAAAATGATTACATTTGCTTATAAGTAAACGAATTTTATGGGATCAATATCATAACTTACGATATCCACCTGGATATTTTCCACGAGATGACCTACGCGCAAAGAATGATCCACTAGATTGGAATGGCGACCATATCCACACTAATTTCAAAGATATGTACCAACATTTACGAAATGCTGGTTATTATTTAGAAGTACTTGGTGCCCCATTCACTTGTTTCAATGCTAAAAACTATGGTACCTTGCTCATTGTGGATGCCGAGGAAGAATTCTTTCCTGAAGAAGTATTTACATATTTATAAATCAAAGTATTTATATATCAATTTATCTTAACAAACAATATTTCTTTCAGGTTACAAAACTTAAAACAGATGTAGAAGAAGAGGGTCTCTCTGTAATCATTTTTGCAGACTGGTATAATGTCACTGTCATGAGGAAGGTAAAGTTTTATGACGAAAATACTCGGCAGTGGTGGATACCAGATACAGGAGGCGCAAATATACCAGCCCTAAATGATTTATTATATCCTAATTGGGGCATAGCATTTGGAGATCAAGTACGTAATGGGCAATTTACTCTCGGTCAACATCCTCCTGTAACGTTCGCGTCTGGTACTACAATTACTCGGTACGACAATGTTAGCAAAGATACAATTATTTGTGAAATGCAGATTAGTTAACAAATTGTTATGTAAGATCCATATGTTTCTGTTTCGTTTATTAAGATTTCCAAAGGATGGAATCATTATCTACGTAGAATTACATGATCAAGGACAAGAACTTTTAATAGAATCAGAATCTAGATCTACAATGTCTATGCCAATTCTTGGACTTTTCCAAACAAGTGGTTATAAGAGTATTCAAAAGATATATAAAGATAAGGATAAGAACGTAATCCCAGATGAAGAAAATATAGACAAAAGTAACACGAAAGATCAAATAGTACCGGGCAGAATTGTAGTGTATGGTGACTCAAACTGCATTGACGATAGTCATTTACAAAAACGTATGATTTTATAATGATCCCTAACTTTATAAATAATTTCATGAATCTAATTCATTAACATTATGCTTTTTTAGCTTGCTTCTGGATGCTTGATGCCATATTGGAGTATACAACAACGGGCCATGTTGCCACAGTTTTCACCGATGAAAGTCGGACTAAGGCAAAAGTTTTGGAGAAGCCTACAACTCTAGATAACAGTGAACTGCCACAACGTATGGAGGGTAGCCATTTAAGACGACATAGTAAAGTATTACTACCTGAGAGCGCTAATACTGACCACATTCGACCACTTCCATCTTGCCCTACTATTACTCTTGCTATTCCAAAACCATTAAACGAGTCTGTTCCCATGTGAGTTTGTTAAATTTGATTCAACTACTGCATTGGTGATAGCGGCATTAATAATACGTTGAATTTAATTTCAGAAATCTTTATAAACCACAAAAGTTACTATCTGTAGGGGATACGATAGTTGCGGTAAATCCAGTTTTACAAGATACAAGTCCCTTGTGGCTTAGAAGGCGAGTTGGTGCAAACATTCCTACACTACACCATGCAGAACGAAATAATATTATAGATGACTTAGAACAAAGTGACAAAAATAATAGTGAACTGTTTTCAAGTAAGTGGAGCTACATCGCAGGAATAGTTATTGTAGGGAGTATTGTTCTGTATTTATTAAACCAGTGGAATTGCTTAATGTCAAAAAGGCATTCACGAAGAAAACGAACAGTCGGTAGGTTACGCAGAGTTATTCAAACAATTTCTGTGCGCCGAGTGCCTCAAATGTGATTTTGTATTTGAGAAAAATCAACCAGTGCAAAATAATGTTCGATTATCTGCGGTAAACACTTAGAAAATAATAAAACTATGTTACGTGCCTTTAAACATACAGTACTCAACATAAATTTATAAATTATATAACTTATTTTGATAAATTTTACGTGTCATTAATTCATTCTGAATATATTCATATTTCTGTTAACGTACGTATAGAAAAATGTCAAATTTTTATAATGTTATGTTATTTCTTTGTTTAGTCGCTTCTATACATATAGTTAAGCCAAAATATAA